ATTATCTCCTTAAATTCGTTCACCCTATATATAAGATAATCCTTACCTTATTTTGTAACTATCACATAATTACAAATCAGCCCCTCTAGTTTAATTAATTACACTTGATCACAAAATTAATTCCTAATTAATTATTAACCAATATTAATTAAACAAATATGATTTCTCCTTTAATATATTATATTATTCTTATAACATATTAATAAATCATATTATCATCCCTCTCTATATATTTCTCCAATCAAGTTGCTTTGGTGAAGGCAACCCAAAAGGACCATGCACCATCGGGTCAAGTACATACCAAAATAGTTATGGACTTAGACACTAATCCAACAATTTGTGAACCATTAGAGGAGTGACACTTGTGACTCTAAGCCTTCCAAAGTCAATACAAGGAGATTTGGGATTGTTATTGCTACATAACAATCAAGGTAACATTATAAACCTATTCTTATGTTAATATGATTACTTGAATGCTAGAATTAGGGTTTATAGTCTTGGATAACTTGCATGTACAATAGAGAAACGTAGATCCAAGCATTAGGGTTTGTATGAGCACATAGGATGTCTTAGGACCAAAACCCAACAGTTCCATCTTCTCATTCCATCTCACATCATAAACCATGACATCACCTCTTAACCCGCTACTCATCATGGTACTCAAACCATGTTCCATCTTCTCAATCCTGCTACTTAAATCCTCCAGATTAGCCTTCTGGATCCCCGCAGTCATCTCGTCACAAATCATACGACGAATCTCATCATCGCTAACACCGCTGCTCTTCGGTGTGTGGTGCACCAACCACGATGCCTCTGAAACACAACACAAAGATACCAGAGACTCGATCGAGTATACTCACACTTGACCACCCAACCCTACTTGTTCCTTGGTACGCTAAGGATTCTTACTTGGACTGCCCATTGATCCGGTGTGTCTAGTAGTATGGGCCCTATACTACCTTTCACACCGCATCAATATTCATCCCAAGTCCTCCTCTTAGGATCCCAGCTCACAAGTGCTCTACACCTTAGTAAACATAGGCTACCCTTTGGTAGACCTCTCATAAGCTCCTCACAGCTACTTACTCACTCTCGAAGCATCACATAGCAGCAGAAATCTCCTAGGCTAAGGCATCGATTGTTTTGGACAAACTCTATCATGGCGTGATGGCATAACCATCAGGACGTGATAGTTTGTGATTGAGTTGGATCATGACTAAAATTTAGAATAGGGCTGAGTTCGTTTTCCACAATATGGCCACAGGTTGAAAACAACGTGAAATTGCTAGTTCTGAGGCGTGCCTGTAACACCGTGAAATTTCAAAACAAATTTTCATTTTTAAAACATACTTTTAATCAGTAAGTAATACAAAACATGAGGTGTCTACTGTTATTACATCAAAACATTTCCCAACATCTCATAACATAAACTTCATAAGTGTGTACGAATCATGTCGGCGCCTTCCCGCGATCATCACTGGTACCTGAAACACATACACAAACACTGTAAGCATAAATACTTAGTGAGTTCCCCAAAATACCACATACAACACATACGCCTTTCCAGGCTATAACTCTATAGGATCTTCCGCTCCAAGTGTCTTATGGGGATTTCCATCCCATAACTCTGTTAACCTTCCGGTCCATAACTTTGTTGACCTTCCGGTCCATATCATCCTGACCTTCCGGTCCACATCATCATAATCATATCATAACATATCAGATATACAACATGCATCACATATTCATCATACACATAAGACTTTCCGGTCACACATAATTACCCCATCGGGTAAGGCGTCGTGAGAAGACTCACCTCGAAGATGTCGGATAAACACCCGTGCTCAATCTTCCGACCTCGCTTCCTCCTATAACATAAATACATCTCTAATTATTACTTCCCTGACTTAGTTTGACTAATACTCTTAAATCAACATAAGTCAACTCTGGTCAACGGTCAACTCTTGACCCAACTCGTCGAGTCATGCACCGACTCGACGAGTTTAGACGTGAACTCCAATTCCTTAAATCCGATCTGACTCACTGAGTCACTCACCCAACTTGGCTGGTCACCAATTGACATGAGTCACGGATCAACCCGGTCCGACTCGTCGAGTATACTTATGGATTCGGCGAGTCTATTCCATACTTAAACAAAAATGAGCTTCTGAGGTCAGATTTGTTCCTCTAATCCATAGATCTGTCCTTCCCAAGCTCAATAACCACGTAAAGTACGAACCTTGACACTCATGCAACATCCATATGACTCTATTTGATGAAATAGTTTATAAAATAGCATTCTAGGTTCATTTCCTCCATGGAATAACATAAAGCATGATTGATAATGCTCTCTGGACCTCTAAAGGTCCAGATCCAGAGTCTAACACCCAAAGGGACAACTTATATATATCATTACAAGCAAATAAGGGGGGGGGGGGGGTTGGGAAACCCTAGATTCAAGGTAATTAACAATTACATGAGATTAAGCACAAATTGATACCTCTATCAACTCCATCTGACCAAAAGATCGTAGATCTAAGCTCCTTAATCCTCCTAGTATGCCATCCTTCCTTCTCTATTGCTAAAACACTCAAGAAATGATGAATTAGCCTTCCTCTTGCTCCACAAATGATCTCTCTGCCCTCAAGGGTTTCTTAGGGGTGAGTGGCCGCAAATGACGGCCATAAGGGTCCTTAAATAGGGCTCAGGCCCTGAGATTTAGGGTTTCACATAACAGCGCGGACTCATCGAGTTCACCCGTTGACTCGTCGAGTCCTTTCATTAATCCAGCCAACCAATTGCGATCCTACTCGACGAGTCTAGGCATCGACTCGTCAAGTCCCTCCTCGTGACTTCAAAAGAAATAATCAAATTAACATGCCTGGAAATCCTGATGTTACAGTGCCATTGTATGATTCGATAGGTGGGCTGTAACATGTGTATCATGATGTTGATCCGTTGTTGTATGTCTTTGTGAGAGAGTTTAGTATTCTCACTATACTATGTAGGATGTAGGTGTCTTTGTGACTATTGCATTGTATGTTAGGCGGGGTCCATTTGTATATTGTGTGATTCTTGTTTGTCTGTTTGGTGGGGCCTGTTGTGTTCGGCGGGGCTCGTTGTTATTTGGGCAGGGCCCAATGTTATGTATGATATCTGGTATTTTGGGGAGCTCACTAAGCTTTGTGCTTATATTTTTGTGATTTAAGCGTTTCAGGTATTTCTGGTTCCAAAAGGGAATGGCCCGACGTGATCGCACAACATTCCCTACAGTTTATTTTTGCATTTTTTGTTTTGATTTACTCTGATGTTTTGGAATACATTTAAAACATTGGTTGGCTTTTGAACAAATGATTGTATGGTTTTAGTGGGTTGAAAATGAAAATTTTTACTAATATTTTTGAGACGTTACATATAGTGTGGTGGTCTATGTTCTTGAAAAGAAGTATAGTAAAAACATTAAAAAGATGTTTGGAAGATTGAAATGTAATCCTTAATCCAATTGTACATATATAATATTTTAATAAAATTGTCAAACTTTATTATACTCCAACTTTAATTACCTATTATAATTACCTAGGTAGCCGCACCATTTTCTAATGGAGCTAGTAAGACTATAGGGTATGGGGTGTTGTTTCTACTGTGATTAGCCACCCCAGCAGTGCAACACACTGCTCCTAACTTGTGGTTTCTACTGCGGTTAGACTTGATGCGGTACTCCATAGCCACACTCATTGTTCTCTCTCTCTCTCATAGTCCCCACACTTAGTGTGTGTGTTAAGTATGTGGCAAAGAACAACACTTTGTGTGGTAAAATTGACATGACACCTATGTGAGAAAAGAAAATACGGTTTTTATGGCACCACATCCTTCAACCTAACCTAATTAATTGTGTGACAACTACAAAATAAGAACACATTTATTTTAAAAAACCATAATTTATTTTGTTTTTGTTTTTGTTTTGTTTTGTTTTTTTTTTTTTTTTGTTTTTTTTTTTTTTTTTGTTGTTTTTTTAATATTTGTTACAAAATGTTAATAACGTTCAACTACTTTTGTATTTATTTTATTTTTATTTTGTTTATTCGTAGTAGCTTTTAAATATACCTTTCTATTATATTATATCGAGTAACCAAAAGGACCACATGATATCTACATCCACATGGGCAGATAAATTTCGACATGCCATGTATTTTAATCGATTATTCATTGCGTAACTTTTCAACTTTTACGAGCATAAACTCAGTGAGATGATGACAATATATGTACAAAATAAGTATAATACAAGACATAAATTTTCTGAAAAATGTTAACGAAATATATGACTTGAAATTATTCTGATCGGTATCATCTTTCGTTCTTGTTGTACCATCTTTTCCAATTTACAAATGTTTTTAATTCAATATTTCTTATGGGCTTGCCGTGCCATTTGGTATATTTTTATGCATATATATGGTATATTAAATTAATTCCCTCGCATGTAAAATAATAAACTTTTTGTACGATGCGTTTGTGCAAGTAATGATTTTGATGCATCATAATCCCATGTGATGAAGCTCTTTATTATTTTGTGCAAGTAATAATTTTGATAGATAATCCAACATGGTGAAGCGCTTTGTGATCGAAGGCAACTTGTAAGATCTCTTTATTTTCTGTCCAATCTAAGAATAGTTTCAAGTTTTGTAAGAGAATTAAATCTTTATAAGACTAGAATGAAAATTGTTAAAAGTACAGAACATTTTAAAAACTCTAAAAAATATTTAAAATAATAATGGATGTTCAAATAATTATTCTATCCTATCCAACTCACTGAACACACAGTTAGGACCGAATTATGAGGATTCAAATGATTCTTTAATGGCCATGACCAACTAGAAAAAAACATTGCTATTATATATATATATATATATATATATATATATATATATATATATATATATATATATATATATAGTGGCAACGCTCAGTAGTTTGTGCTGATGTTGTATGTCGGTGATTTGGAGATGAACGTCATCGATTCACAATTGTTTGAGCTGTTTAGCCAACTAGGTCAGGTGGTGTCGGTTCGAGTTTGCAAGGATTTGTCTACTCGAAGATCTTTTGGCTACGACTATGTCAACTATGTGAACCCACATGATGCTGCAAGGGCGATAGAGGTGCTAAACTTCACACCTCTCAATGGAAAGTCTGTTAGGATAATGTATTCCGATCGTCATCCCAATGTATGCAAAAGTGGATCTAGGAATATATTTATCAAGAATTTGGACAAGGAAATTGACCAAAAAGCACTACATGACACCTTTTCTACATTTGGCAACATCCTTTCTTGCAAGATTGCCATTGACATAACTAGTCAGTCAAAGGGTTATGGGTTTGTGCAGTATGATATGAGGGAGCTGCACAACAAGCCATTGAGAAGCTAAATGTCATGCTTCTGAATGACCAACAAGTATATATAGGTGAAATGCCTAGTATGCTCAAGATTCATAGTAAAGTGATATTACTAAATAACATATGAAACTAATTACTAAATAACATATGAAACTAATTGGTCACACTAACAACAACTTGATATATTTGATTATTGATTAGAAATTGATTTTAATAAATATTCAATAAAACTCTTATAATTAAATTGGAAATTATTTATTTCATGGAAATAATAAATTCCATTAGCAAGTAACTTAATATATATATATATATATATATATATATATATATATATATATATATATATATATATATATATCATATGGTATGATTTATAAGTCATGTACAAACTTTTGGACTAGTTGAATCCTTTTGTCTTTTTCCTAAAAAACAATGTTTATATTTTATAAAAGTTTGAATTTCTTTCTTCTTCTTCTTTATGTAATTTTTGAGATATGCATAAAAAGAAGAAGTGTATGACTTGTTTAATCATGATTTAAAGGCATGGGAGACATGCTTATGACAATGTGGACAAGTTTGCTTAAAGTGCTAAGGACTAATGGTTAATAACTTCACTTTATGCATATAAATAAGAGAGCTTGCACTTGGATTATTTGCTTATTCATTCCTTGATGCAAAATCCAAATCCTCTCTTCCCTTTCCCTTTCTCTTTAGCTTTGGTTAGAAAACTTGAAGAATACTTGCATCTTCAAGCCTTCTTTAAGTTCATATTGGTTATGAAGTTAAAGCTTAAGGGTTTAAGAGTTTTGGACTAGCATTTACATCAAGTTGAGTCATTGTTGGTGTCTCAAAGGTTCCATATTCTTCATCAACTTCCAAGCATCTCGAGAGGACCCAAAGAACTACAAAGGTTGTTATTTCTTCACCTCTTCTTTGGTTGGTGTTTTAATATTTCTATAACTTGCAAGAAGATCCTTGGTGGGTATAAAATGTTTATGTTATTTCAAAAATTAAAGTCTTCCGTTGCCATATTTTTTAAGTTTATGAAACTATTTTGAACTAAATCCCAACAATAGGCCCCTTCCTATGTAAGCAAGAAAGAGAATTGGCTGTTGACAAGAGAAAGTTGACTAATGTCTTTGTTAAGAACCTTTCTGAATCAATTACATATGATAATTTAAACAAGATATTTAGTGAATATGGAACAATCACAAGTGCAATTGTGATGTGTGATACACTAACACTCCCCTTCAGAGTCGGAAGCTCGATGAGTGAAGCGTCCAAGTCGCCACGTATGGATTTAACCCATTATCCTATTTAATTAGACTAGAAGGGGGGGGGGGGGTGAAGGGTCTCGTGAGTATGTTGGACGTGCATTAGGTACACATGACGTACTCCGTGCATGCACACCTTCAGGGGTGATCCCAACGTATGCTGGGCGTACTCATGTCATGGGAAAACCCTAAATTTTAGGGATTACACCCTATTCAAAGTCCTTAAGTCCCGGAAGTCCATTACCCTTTCAGCCTCCATTTCCCTTTTAGTGCCAATCTTGAACCCTAACCATCTTAAGTGCATTTTTTAGCTTACATTGAGTGTTTGGGTGTTCTTTGGTGGTTTTGAAGAAGAAGGAAGTTTAAGAAGAAGCAAACGAGAATAAGGAGCTTGTAGATCCAGAGTTTGTGCACCATTTCTAGCCTATTGAAGGTATAAAGTTTGAAACTTGATCACTCTAAGCTTAGATCTAGGTTTAGGGTAGATTTTATCATCTTTTGGTCCCATAACTTGGTTTCTTGGAGTATGAGCTACTCCAAGCCATTTGAGTTGTCCTTTTGGACTCTTAGAAGTATATGTAGTCATAAAAATCATATCTTGGAGGTTAAGACTCAATTGTGCATGTGTTAGTGACCACCTAAGTGAGTTAGAGGGCTTAATTCTTAGTTTGAGCCCCAACAAGGCATGCAAAAGCATAAAGTTTGAAACATTATGGCTTAAGATGCTATTATGAGCTTGGATCTAAGTTTTGGACATTGGAGCTGAATGGATTAAGACTTGGGAATAAAAATAAGCTGACTGGCCAGTACGTTGGGCGTACTTTAGAGTACGCTGCATGTACTAGGCCAGTGCCCTGACTTCCGGATCATTAGCGTACAATGGGTGTACGAGCCATGTACGTCGCACGTACGCCATCTATGGGCTTGCGAGACTTTTGAACTCGTGTTTTGGTTGGTATTTGGACTTGTTTTGGTTGGGCATCAGACCTACCTGTTGTAGCATGACATTTTTAGGCTTAAGGCCATATTGGGTATTACTTTTGTTTGGGGGCTCGAGCAGCATACCTCATTTGAGAGTACGCTGCATGTACTAGGCCAGTGCCCTGACTTCCAGATCATTAGCGTACAATGGGTGTACGAGCCATGTACGTCGCGCGTACGCTATCTATGGGCTTGCGAGACTTTTGAACTCGTGTTTTGGTTGGTCTTTGGACTTGTTTTGGTTGGGCATCAGACCTACCTGTTGTAGCATGACATTTTTGGGCTTAAGGCCATATTGGGTATTACTTTTGTTTGGGGGCTCGAGCAGCATACCTCATTTGAGAGTCTTCGCTAGAGGTTGTGTGAAGCTCTAGTGTTAGCCCTTCCTGAGGGAGTGGAGGACTTTGTAGTTTACTGTGATTCATCTATATCATGTATGGGTTTTGTGTTGATGCAGAGGGGGCACGTGATAGCATATGCATCGAGTCAGTTGAAGCCTCATGAGAGGAGGCATCCCACCCATGATTTGGAGTTGGGGGCGGTGGTGTTCGCCCTCAAGATTTGGCGTCACTACCTTTATGGTGTCTGGTGTACCATATACACGTACCATAAGAGCCTGAAGTACCTCATGGATTAGCCCAACCTGAATATGAGACAGAGGAGGTGGTTGGATGTAGTGAAAGACTACGGTTGTGAAATTTTGTATTGCCCTGGCAAGGATAATGTGGTAGCTGAAGCCCTAAGTCGCAGAGCAGTGAGTGCTCCGATTCGAGACATGTGCATAAGGATGACAATGATGACTCCAATATTAAATACCATCCGAGAGGCCCAGGTCGTGGCCGTGAGACCAAAGAACCGTAAGAGAGAGCGGGTGATAGGGAAAATTTTTGAGAGTGAGACAGATAGTTGGGGCTTATGACCTTCCGTGGGCGTATATGGGTGCCATATACGGGTGGAGCTCGACGAATTGTAATGGAGGTGGCCCATAGGTCGAGATTCTATGTCCACCCGGGAGCCATAAAGATGTATTTGGACTTGAAAATGGATTATTGGTGGCCATGTATGAAGAGATATGTGGCATGGGTAGTCGAGAGATGCTTAAACTATCATCAGGTCAAGGCGGAGGACCAGCGCCCACATGGCCCGTTGCAGCCTTTGGAGATTCCCCAGTGGAAGTGGGAACAAATTTCTATGGATTTTATCACTAAATTACTAAGGACCGCATGCGGGGTCAATGCGATATGGGTGATCGTAGATCGGTTGACGAAGAGTGCTCAGTTTCTGGATATCAGTGAGAGATCTTCTACGGAGAAATTGGCCGAGATTTATGTTCGAGAGGTGGTGGCATGGCATAGGGTGTTGACATCGATATTTTCAGATCTAGATGTGCGTTTTACTTCAAGATTCTGGAAGAAATTTCATGAGGAGTTGGGTACCCAATTGCAATTCAGTACCACATATCACCCATAGACAGACGGGCAGAGGAGCGGACGATTCAGACACACGAGGATATGCTACGTGCATGTGTTATGGACTTCGGTAGATGTTAGGACACTTACTTTCCCTTGACTGAGTTTTCATACAATAACAGCCATCATTCTAGTATCAGTATTCCTCCCTTTGAGCTTTTATATAGGAGGAGGTGTCAGACTCCCATCTATTGGGGAAAGGTAAGGCAGAGAGTGATGAGGTGCACTGAGATAGTGCTCAAGAGGAAAAATTAGATCCATCAGGTCGGGAAGAGGTTACTGACGGCCCAAAGTCGTCAGAAGAGTTACACCGACCGTCGCCGTTCAGAGCTAGAGTTCCAAGTTGGAGATTTTGTCCTCCTGAAGGTATCCACATGGAAATGGGTGATCTGATTTAGGAAGCAGGAAAAGCTGGGCCCTAGATACATTAGTCCTTTTAGGGTGATTGCCCGAGTAGGTAAGGTAGCTTATTGGTTGGAGCTACCTGCAGAGTTGAGCCAGATTCACAACACCTTCCACATGTCCTAAATGAGGAAATGTGTAGCTGATGAGACGATAGTGGTTCCTTTAGAGGACATTCACGTTGATGAACGCCTGAACTACATTGAAAAGTCGATAGCGATCTTGGATAGGAATGTGAAGGTTTTAAGGAATAAATAGGTTCCCTTGGTTCAGGTTCAGTGGAAACATCATAAGGGATCCGAGTGGACTAGGGATGCAGAGTTTGAGATGTGGAAACAGTACCCAAAGTTGATTCTGGAGGATGACTTCGAGGGTGAAGTCTGATTCTAGTGGGGGAGAATTGTAACATCCCGACTCCAAGGTATAATATTTAATTAACTTGCATTTGTGATGTCAGAGAAACTTGACGAGTTGGATTTCCCAACTCGCTGAGTGGAGGAGTTAATGGCCACATGATTTTTAGAGTCTACTCGACGAGTTGGAGGACCCCAACTCTAGAAGTAGGAGTTGAGTGAGAAAAACCCTAATTTTCAGGGTTTGTGTCCTATTTAAAGTACCTTAAGCCTTCATTTCCACCTCCCTTATCATCTTAACACTTTGAGAGAAACACTAATCGAGTTATAACCTTGTGCGAGAGAAACAGAGGCTAATATTGTGTACTTTGGTGCATTTTTAGAGGAAGGTTGAGGAGAAAAAGGCTTGGGACGAGAGGGAGCTCTTGGATCCGGTGTTCATTCATTCCTAGCTTCTATTTGAAGGTAAAAAGTTACCACCTTGCTCATTGTTTGGTTAGATCTCTTTTCTAGGGAGTTTAGGGCCTTTTTCCGTCCTTCCTTGAGTTCTTGA